AGCTAAGACAGGAGAATCGTGAGTTCAGAGCCAGCTTCAGCAAAAGCAAGGTGCTAAGCAACTCAGTGAGACCCTGTCTCTAAATAAAATACAAAATAGGGCTGGGGATGTGGCTCAGTGGTCGAGTGCCCCTGAGTTCAATCCCCAGTACCAAAAATAAAAAACACAAAAAAAAAGGAAAAAAGAAAGTATTTAACTTTGTCACTGGTCCCTGCTGCTGCAGCTGAGACTGAAAAATAAGGAGACTGAGAGGCACAAAAACAAAAATAAAAACCCTTTATTTATAAAATAGAGTTGACCTTCAGCACAATGATCCAGAGTCTCCTGAAATAATATGTTCTAGCCATATAGAAATAAACACTGCTGGCTTCTATCCTAGAAAAACCTCATAATCCAGACCAGTGAGAAAGGGAAGCAGAGATTCTGGGGAAGGGGCCCTCTCGTGGATGGGGTAAGGAGATGGTCAAGGGAAGGCTGTCTGGAAAAAAAAATGGTGAGCATTATCATCTCGGGATGTAAAGTCTTGGTGCAGTTGAGGAAAAGGGGCTTGGGGAGCAGGGCAGGACAGATGGGAGGAACAGAAGAGGTCCGAGAGGTAGAGGAGCACCTTTCAGTTTGGCAGAAATGGGGTGCAAGAAGCAGGAAGGGGCTGGGTATGTTGGTGCACCCCTGTAATCCCAGCTACTCAGGAGGCTGAAACAGGAGGATTATAAATTCAAGGCTAGAGTGGGCCAATTAGTGAAAACCTGTCTCAAAATGAAATAAAAACTAAAAAATGCTCAGTGGTAGAGCAGCCCTGGGTTTAATCCCCAATAATACAAAAAAAAAAAAAAAGAAGAAGAAGAAGAAGAAGGGATGAAAAATTACAGAAACCATCATTAGGGGCCAGAGCTTGGAGGGCCTCATGTGTCTTATCTTCAGATAGATGTTATCCTGAGGGTGTTGGTGAGTTCTGAGAGTAAATATGATCAGTTCTGCTTATTAGAAAGACATCCTGTAACTTCTTTAGACTACTACCAGGCCATTAAAATGCTCTGTTGTATGCTTTAGGTATAAACTCTGAACTCATTTTAGAGCCACAGATTTGGGAGAACTGGAAGATTCTTTATAATTCACCTAAAGCAACTCCTTCATTTTTTCAGATGCAAAGGGCCAGAGAGGTAAATGACTTGTTTAGAGTCACACGGCAAGTTCTTGGCAGAGCCAGAACTAGCTGGTATATTTTCTGTTAATGAATAAGACAAAAGGGCATCAGAGAAATTCTCAGCCATCTCCCATCCTCTGCACATCCATGCACAAGCACACATATACACAATTCACACACACACACACACACACACACACACACACACACAGAGAGAGAGAGAGAGAGAGAGAGAGAGAGAGAGAGAGAGAGAGAGTAAAACCTCAAATAACTGACAAGTTGTGGCAGAAGGCAAGTAATGGATGATTTGTTTTCTGGGCATCTGAGAGTTTAGATGAAACTGACTTTATTTCATCTCCTGTTTAAAATTCTCCAAAATATACAAATGTACTTGAAGAGTCTCCTAGTAAGGACAAATGGGATTTCTCTGCCAAGAGAGCCTGATGTGGGGGCTAATTTACTGGCCCAGCAATCATGAGAGTGGGCCCAAGTCCAGTTCTACTATGGAGCAGTTTTCCCAGTTGAACTTGACCATCCTTTCCTGATATTCTTAAAATGGCATTCTCTGTACTGGGGCCTGCGGTCATGGGCAGAGGCCCAGCCCTAAACACAGCCACGCTCTGATACCCATCCTTCCTTTCTTGGCTATCAGGAAAGCAGGGAACTAAGTTTAAACTTTGCCCTCAATACTGGCCACTGTACCCAACCACTATAAATAATTAAACAAATGGCTCTGTTCCTTCCAGGGTCCTGATGAGCRGGTGTTGAATATTTTGCCAATTAAAAAAAAAAAAAATCCAGACAGCTAATATTTAGAGCCAGCCCTGACCCTAAGTTACCTTTCTTATCTGAAGAGTGACTCCCTGRGATCATTGGAGTCCAATGACCGCTCAGAGCCTCCCTGCTAATGCCTGGGCCTCCCTGTCATGTGGGTGAAGAGTCACCATGCAATCAACCAGGAGGACTGGGGCCCACTTCATGCCTCTTGGGACCTCCTATGAAGAAATCCTATGAGTCAAAGACAAGGAAAAYTTTGTATCTTCAGAGAAACTGACCTACCTTCTCCTCATACTGTAGACTGAAAAATTAGAAATAAAAAACTAATTGGGGGCTGGAGTTGTAGCTCAGTGGTAGAGCACTTCCTAGCATGTGAGAGGCACTGGGTTCTATTCTCAGCACCGCATATAAAGAAATCAATAAAGTTAAAAAAATACTGATTGGGTTTCTCCTTTTACCTGGCTACCAAGAGACTCAGAGTCATTTATATAGCTCAGTCACTATAAATGCACAGGACCTTTGAGCCTGCTAAGTTGTCCATTTTTCCCTCCTGTTCTATGCCTTCCAGAAAACCATGTTTTTTTTCCTTTAGTTTCTACTTAATATTTTATTATATATGCAAAATGCTTCAAATCCTTTGCAGAACAAGGGGGGTGTATAACTGACCAAATAAACCCAAGCAGGTTAAGATGCCCTCTGTCTCCAACCATCAGCAAGCCAGGTCAATTCCACTTTCCCCCCTTCACCTTGGCCTACACACCAGCCCTGGTTCCTACTGTCTCTCAAGTGGACTTCCGMGAGGTCCCCTAACTGCTTCTTCCCCACTTCCATTGTCACTCTCAGTCCTTTCTCCACAGAGTAGCCAGTGATATTCAAGTGTGAATCTGATCACTACACAGATCTACTGAAGCGGTCAGGACTCTGGCTTGCAAGCAACAGAAACTCACTATGGTTTTACTGGTCACATCCACATCCACCCATCAAGGAACCTATTGGAAAGATGTTGGGGTCTCCCTGGAATCAATAACAGCTGGAGCCCTGAGTATAGGCTGCTTTCAGCATCAATGGTCACACCAGGATCCAGCTGTCACTATGGTGCTGGGCAAACCCATTACTATCCCTGACAGAAGCATCACCATTGGGCTATGAATGAATTCTGCCATCTCAAGACTCTAACATCAATGATCTATGTGGGAGGATCTAATCCACTCACTGGGGGTTGGGAGGGTCACTGCCTGCACCCTGGCTGCTGGGGGCAGAGAGTAGAACTGTCCTCTCTGTCTTCCACAGAGCAAGGCTTGGCACAGCCRCCCATCAATAGTACACAAAACAGAGAATTTCAAGTAGAAAGGAGGTTTGGGGCTGGACAGCCAAAGCTGCAATAATATCCACAACATGTGCAAAATATCTCCGTGTCTTCCTATTGCACCCAGAGTAAAATTCAGATTTTGCACCAAGGCCCCTAAGACTCTCCTGTGCTAGCCCACACCAAACTCCCCAATCACCTCCTCTTATTGCTCCCTGCCTGGTACCAGCCAGTGATCTTGTGGATCTTGAACAAACTAAGCCCTCTCTCCCTCCAGGGGAGCTTTGCACATTGAGTAGCTGAGCCTGGAATGCTCTTCTCTTTTACCCATGGTTGTTTTTCTTTTGTCCTTTACTTCTCAGGTTCAATGGCAGCTCCTCAGAGGCCTTTCCTCACCCAACTGATTCTGTTAAGTCTCATTCATAACACTGAGCAGAATTTGAAAYGACTTCATTTCTGTATTGAACTTGTCTTTTGGCCTGTCTTCCCATTCAATAAAACTCAAACTGTAGACAGCAGAGACCTACTAGTCTCACTCTCTCTTTTTTTTTTTTTTTAAGAATGATTTTTTTWAAGTTGTTCATGGGTCTTTATTTTATTTATTTATATGTGGTGCTGAGATTCGAACCCAGGGCCTTACGTATGCCAGGCAAGCACTTTACTGCTGAGCCACAACCCAGCCCTGCTAATCTCACTCTCCACTGAACCAACAGTTGGCAGCAGGGCTTAAATAGTATAAATTCTGAATAAATGCTTGTAGGTAGGATGTGAGTGTGCTGGAGATTGGGATACAAGTTTGAATGAGGCCCTGCTCTAAGGAGTAACGCATAGCCTGGGGGAAGAGAACACTTAAATAGGCCATGTCATAGTGCAGGATAGCACTTACTCCAAGAGATGTCTGACCAGGCCTTAACAATGTTTCAGCTCCAACCATAACGATCCTCGGGCTTCTCCCCAAAGCTGCCCCAACTCTAGGCTGGGGGAACTCCAGAAGGCCCCCACCCAGAACTAACTTCGTGGGCATGGGACCAGTGAATCACACACGGTCTCACACTCAGAGGCCTCATCCTTGAGATTAACACTCTGTAGTAGCTGTCTTGAAATTCTTTTTTTTTTTTTTTTTTTTTTTTTTTTTTTAGAGAGAGAGAGAGAGAGAGAATTTTTAATATTTACTTTTTAGTTCTCGGCGGACACAACATCTTTGTTGGTATGTGGTGCTGAGGATCGAACCCGGGCTGCACGCATGCCAGGCGAGCGCGCTACCGCTTGAGCCACATCCCCAGCCCCTGCGCCTGGTTTTCATTGTAAAATTTGACAGTGGTTCACGTTCTCAGGAGCATCTTGGGATAAACTAACTTCTTCACCCTGAACCCCTACACACCTTTTGTGTGTAGCACATGCAACTATCACATGTTCAAGATGATCACACTTTTCAAGAAAATTCCATTTAAGGGTAAAGTATAGTGTGAAGATCCCATTAAATCAAAGGAATGCTCTTTAATGCTCTTTAATTCGTACAACTCAGACCTCCTGTAGAGTCCTCATGGCTCCCATTTGGAAACACCGTTATCACTTGGGTCAGTATAGTAACATGTTCTCTCTGTCGGTAACTTATAAAGTTGACTTCCTGAAGCAGAGCCCTGATTGACACCATAGTCTTCCTCANGCACGCATGTGAGCGCGCTACTGCTTGAGCCACATCCCCAGCCCCTGTCTTGAAATTCTTAACAAGTTTATCTTGGAACTTGCATTTTGTAAGTGAATCCCAATGGGACAATGGAGGCTGCGCCGAGGACACATAGCCTTGCCCTTCAGACCTTGCAGCTCAGCTGGGGACATGCTCTCCAGGGCCCACTCTTCCACCCCCACATGTCCCTTCTTCCTGTTCCYAGCCAGTGACTGTTTTACCTTCTAGCCCCAGAGAGAACCACCTGGACACAGCAGGGGAGAGGTCAGGGTCAGGTGTTGGCATCCCCCAGTGTCTTTGGGCAGAGCATGTGAAGGGCTGTCCCCATCCTGGCTAGCAGCACCACGTGCAATTTGGCAAGTGATTGGGGTGACTTGGAGGGAGAAACTTCTTATCCCCCTTTCCCCTATGAAAGTGCCTAGCATTCCCCTGACAGGGTGAAATATATTTCGGGTCGGGGTGGTAGGCAGGTAAGAAAGGTCTGACTTGCCTTCCGTGCTCCTGGCCAGGGCACAGTGCCTTGTTCTGGTGTCTGAGGGGAGAGGGCAGCCAGGATGCCACAGCACACATGCACACTGCATTGCAGGCAGCTGGGTGACTTAAGAGCCTGCACTCACCCTATGAATGTCCCTGTTTCTTGCGGGGGAGTGTGAKATTAAATAGCAACTAAAAAGCAGCATGCTAGGTCAAGATAGAGATTTTAGAAGAAAAGAAAAATCTTTATTTTAATAAATGATGGCACTTCCCTGTACTTTTTGAACAAGAGTCCCTGCATTTTCATTTTGTAGCAGGTTCTACTCCCACCTCTTCATGGCCTCCCCATTTTAGAACTCAGGGAGGAGATAAGAGCAGAGAGCATTTATTGAGCACCTACTATGGACCAGCCACCATTTTRAGCCCTTATCAGTATTTATTTATTTTTCATAACAATCCTATAAAATATGTATGTATTATAATTATGTCTACTTACGGACGAGGAAACCGAGGCACTTTGATTGGAAAGGGCACTATCTTCAAAGTCCAGAAGCCAAAGTGTTCATTGTAACTTCACCACTGACCTGCTGTGTGTTGGTCCTAGAGGTCTATAAACCTCAGATTCTTTGTAAAATGSGGAAATTCTACCTACTTTGCAGTATTATTAATCCCATCACCTGAGAGAATGGAGGCCTGTTTGCCTCATAAACTGCATAAAAGARACTCCCCTGTAATTATTTTAAGCACCATCATCTGCAGGTGGACCACCGAGATCACCTAACGTAAACCTCTCATTTTAGAAAGGCGGAAACCAGCTCCATCCCCTGCTAAGTCACACTCTCTAGGGTTAGGCCCCTGCCTGTGYCCAGGGCTCATTCTGGAGAGACAATAAAAGTAACAGAATTAAAGGYAGGAGTGAAGATGATGCTTGCCAAAAATAAATCAATAAATTGTGCMRGGSYKGGG